CGATTGCTAAGCTAACACAAAGTGTTCACAAAAATCAATATTTTCCAAAACAAACGAAAAATTGGCTACTTATATTGAGGCAAAGCGGTGGATATCGCAGGACTTGTCTTGTTCTTGTTTGTTGCATCTCTACTCATTTTTTTTAAGACATGTACTTCTTAGCCAAGCATCGCTGGTTGAGGTTCAAGCCCCTATAAAAATATGTGGAGATATTCATGGTCAATTTGCAGGTTTGTAAAGGTGTTTCGCTCACTACAACAATAAAAGAATTATTAACTACTGCCGAGTTGTTTATTCATTCCTGAAAATTTTCCACGTTAATCCTAGATGTTCTGCGACTGTTTGGTCAAAGTGGTTTCCCTCCGATGGTTAATTACCTCTTTCTCGGTGACTACGTTGACCGCGGCCATCAAAGTCTTGAATGCATTGCGCTGTTCTTCTGCTACAAGGTGAAGTGAAGATCTTTGGAACAAATTTTATAGCCAAAAATCCAAAAAATTTTATAACCTTTTATTTATTTAACTACTTCCAAGTTTAGATCAAATATCCTGATAACTTCTTTATTTTACGAGGAAACCATGAATGCGCTCCGATTAATCGAGTGTACGGCTTCTTTGAAGAATGCAACAGGCGTTACAGTAGCACTCGACTTTGGCTCTCTTTTCAGGTTTTTCCACTTTTTTTTTCAGAATTCCATCTATTTTATTTGATCCACAGTATGAAATAGAAATATAAGCCGCTTTTCAGGAAACGTTCGCAACTATGCCGCTCGCAGGGCTAGTAGGTGGCAAAATTCTTTGCATGCATGGTGGCTTGTCTCCTAAGGTTATTAGAATATCCGCATACCATAAGGTATATAAATACTGTGTTGTACGAAAAAAAACACACTTTTATAGTTAAAGTCTCTGGATCAATTACGGCATATCACTCGGCCCATTGATCCTCCAAACCCGTCGTTGCACATGGATCTCTTATGGAGTGATCCTGATCAGCACGTTAAGGTAAGAAGTACAATCATACCTATGTAGAAACTGTAAGCGCACGTACAGATCAGGTGGCTAATCAGTATGCAAATTTTGCACTACGTAACATCTTAATTTTGCGTAACTCATTATCATCCGTACTAGATCCTACTTGGCACTAAACCATTCTTCCTAAAGGAATTCTTGACTGACAAATTACTGCGAGGTTTAGATCAGAGCTTTCCTAAGAGTAGGAAAACGGGCGGTACGTATGTGCATAATAAAAACATAAGATCTTCTTTCATCGCCTATCCTTTGGCCTAATTGGCGCTCGAGATACTGCACGTAGCAATTCCAGGAACCGAATTTCTATTAGCCTTGCCATTGGTCAATAAATTAGTGCCTTCTTATTAAGTAGACAATAGGTTGTTAAAAGCGGGGTTTATTAAGTACTGGTTGACGTTTTCACAGCTTCGCCTTCTTCGCAGTTGTTTTGTTCTTAAGATGTCTTCTTGTTATTGTTGGAGCTCTGCCGCGCAGAGTCTCACATGGGTGAGTGGTGCATGAAGAAGGATAAACTACCGAAACGTTACGCAGCTCAGGACACAACTCCATACAACAAGCGCATCTATTGGCGCATCTATGAATATATGAATATGTTTCCTGGCTGTAGAACTCGTATAAACTTATACCAATCGAAAACGACAAAGCAGGGAGTCTATCTTTAAATCTGTCTTCAACTTACGTCCTATCCGTCAATTGCACTCACAAATTTGTCTCGCGTGTAACTGTCCGAATAGCGATCCGTTGGAGGATCCGGGCAACCTGTGACGATAGCGAAGAAGGCCGTGTCCTGAAGAATGCTCTGGAAACGTCGTCTATAGGAACTACAATTTTGTTGTGAAGACACTACGCCCATTCCTTCTATTCATGCTTGCATCTAATCAAAAATTTTAGGCAGGTTTAAATAGTTTTGAATGTTCTTTTTTGAATATAATGCTGAAATATTTGCAAAACTCCTGACCGCAGGTGTATGCGGTGGGGAACGAACACGCGCTATTGTCCTTTCCGGGGATTAGAGCACTTCACCACCACACCATCCGGGTCCTTCGTTTTGCCTGTCTCTCAGCTAGTTCTATTAATCTTTTGCCATCTGCGGTCCGGAGTTTTGCAATTATCTCAGCATTATATACGAGTTATATTTCGCAACATCCCTTGCCATTAAAAAGAAAAGGCAGTAAATAAAAGGGTTAAGGTTCTTTTTTGAGTTAAAAATTCAACCTAGGGATGGCACGCGAACACTCGAGGAGTTTCGTACGTATTTGGTCCAGACGTCGTGCACAAAATGCTCCCAGTTCTAAATATCGATCTAGTAGCCAGAGCACATCAGGTCATTCAGTCAGTAGTAGAGCTTTTTGTACCACAACATGTCCAACAATTTTAGGTCGTACAAGATGGATTCGAATTTTTTGCGAATAAGCGTCTGGTAACGATCTTCTCAGCACCGCACTATTGTGGGCAATTCGATAACGCTGCAGCCATAATGAATGTCGATGAGGCACTTGTATGCTCATTTCAGGTAGCACAAGCATTGATGATAGACAGCTCACATGAGAGTAAACATAACATAAAGGCGGGAAAAAGCAGAGATCCCCCAACGGTTCCTTAAGAGATTAACTAAACCCTGCCATACAACTAGTAAGGAAATGATTGTTGAAATAACTAGAACTGAAAGAGCAACTATTCGTTGCTTCGTCATTGCCAGTCTTCGAATAATGTGTGGATACTTACTAGGTTAAGTGGATGGTCCGTCCTCACGAGTTGTGCGGACACCAGCACATTTGCCATTCGTTTCCTTCCCTCGCATTTGTCGTTCATGGTGGTGGTTCACTCGAGCATGGTAGCGGGTGCGAGTCCCATACGGTGTTCTGTAAAATAACTGCAGCTGCGTCCACAGCTGATTATACTTCCTTGCGACGACGCCCGCCCAACGTGTAAGTAGCCGTCCAAGGGAGGGGACGTCTGCATTCTCGTGGAGTCCACTGTACAGTTCTTTTGTCCATCTGTCGTCTGTTGCCCTCATTTTGTGATTGGCCTATCTGTGTTTTCTTATCGATGTAAATTCTCCTAAGTCTCGAAGATGTGACATAATTCGAAGATCAGTACTTTGTATTTCAGTTAGAGACTGAGACGGCCGTTTATAGTTCAGAGGACATTGCTCAAGCTCTCTGTGAGTAGGGCGGAGAATTCTTGACGTGATTGAAGAAACATCCCACGTCTCTGCAGCATAACAGAGCGCTGGGAGGACTGTAAAATGAAAGAGATGAGCGCAGATTTTCCCTCAGTTGGTCGGTGGCTTCTTTGAGAGGCCCGAATGCTGCCCAAGCTGCTCTCCTTCTTCTATCTAGTTCCTCCTTCATGTTGTTTTCCATGTTCACAGATCCCCCAGGGTATACGTACGAAGTGGTTTCTGCAACGAGAGAGCCATACAATTCAATTTTTTGCCTTAGCGCTATGCCTTTCTATGAAATGGGTCTTCTTCCGATTTATGCACAGTCCGATGTTTTTCTCCGCTTCGTTGAGCTCGTTGATCATCACTTCTGCTTCGCTAGTACTTTTTGCGAATATGACAACATCGTCGGCAAAACGAAGGTTTGATTTTCCATCAATACGTATGCCTTTCCCAACCCAATCAAGTGACTTCATTGTCCACTTCAGTGTAACACTCAATAGCTTTCGTGATACTATGTCGCCATGTCGAACCGATTTTTCTCTAAGTGTGGTAATATGTTAATGGAATAGCTGTGTTTTCGTAGTGCAGTTGCGAGAACAGTCAGACAGGGCTTTTGTGTAGAACGGCTCCATTCTTTGGTTAACGAGCGTTGATATGATTGCATTCATTTCGGCACTTTCAAACGCTTTCTCATAGTTTACAAAGGTTAGGACTAAAGGCAGATGGTATTCCCGATAAGCTTCGTCGACCATGGACACGGTTTAGACGTGATCCGTGGAGCAAAATCCTTTTCGAAATCCTGCTTGCTCCACTGTTTGCACCTCATCCAATGTTTTTGATATGGACATAATCTTTGTGAAGAGCTCGTAGAAAACACTCAGCAATCATATCGGATGATAGTTACGAAGATCCCTTCGGTCACATTTTTTGAGCAGGATGGCCGTGCACGATGTCGGGATTTTTTCGCTGGTCTGGGATTTTTTCGTTTTAGAGGTGGGCTCTCATATGCTTTGCCAGAAGAACACGTAAATTGTCGCTTTCAGCTCTAAGAAAATCAGCTGTGATATTAACGGGTCCTGGAGCTGTGCCTCTTTTCATTATTTCTATCGCAACTCGAACCTCCGACGGAAGAATTTTAGGTGGTCTTTCACCAGCGGGGATATTAGGGTCCGGGACGGAGATTGTGGAACGGAAAAAGTTGGCGTAGAACGTTTCCGTTATTAATTCCATATCATATCGGGAAGTTTTGACGATCCCATCTTCGTCCATCAGGGATGACAGCGAAACATAATAATCACACAGATCGCGACGGCATTTTTTCAAAGTGCTTGTTTTCTCTGCTAGTTCCAGTAGTTTCCTCTCCCTGTACCGATGTAGTTCTTCCTGCAAAGCTCTTCTCCAGCTTTACCCTTGTTAAACGTGTTGCAGTAGAATCAAACTTCTTCGAGTAAATTCTCAGTAATAATGGAGGTGCGATCCGATCTTCTTGTTTGAGGAACAGAGGCGAAATCGGCACAGCTTTTCAGTCCTTCGACAAGCAGCTTATAGTCTTCGGTAGGGTCTTCTTTAATCTGGTAGTCATGTTTGGATAAGATTTCGTTCATAATTTTCTCGTCGTATGCAGCTTGTCCTTTTCCCCGTTGTCGATAACATGAATTCTTCTCCAGCTTACGACTGAATCGAATCTTCGAATGACGGGATTGCCGATTTGTGAAATAACCAACATCTTCGCTTTGTCAGAATGTGGTCGGTGTCTACTTGAGTTATGCCGTTAGAAGGCTTGCGTGTCTAGCGGCGGCTTTCTTTCTTCTGAAAAAACGAGTTCCCATGAAAAAGACGTGCTGCAGACAGGAGTTCTGCGAGACGGTTTCCACTCTCATTTCTTTCCTCTAATCCAAAATTTTCAATCCTGTATTCACTCTCGTGGGCGTTTCCTATTTTGGCGTTGAAATCGCCGACAACAAATTTATGATAGACTTTTTCATTGCGGATAACTTCCTCCAGCTGATAGTAGGAGGCATCTCATTTGTGCTCACCAGCTGCGTCGGGCGATGAGTAGCAGTTGATGGTTGTGGTCTTCTTATGACGCGTCAGTTGAAGACGAAAGACGGTTAGCATCTCGTATAAGTCGATGAGAACGAACATGGACGGGTGTACGAGGGCATATGCAGGTCTTCACCACGATGTGAATCCAAAGGAAGTATGTTTTCGGCGACGAATCCTTCGCTTCCAATATTTGGTATTGTATGGGTCCAATTGATTTCTCTATTCGTTTCGTCGACCCACAATCCAAAATCTCAAGCTACCCACACTTGACCGTTCTCACATCTTCATCACAGGCAGTTGTCCTCCTTTTTGGATCGTAGATAGTTTTTCCACAAGAAGTTGCGCACAAGTTCCAGTGGCAGAGAGATGGAGTTTTTTGGAACACTGCGGGATTGAACCAAGGAACGTGTTCGTTTAGCATAAAACCTCTAATCTCTAAGTGATAGGTCTTTCATGGAATTATCGATTTGCTGTACACCATAGAGCAGAAGTACAGACCGTACCTGTAAGAACTCAACATGTCGAGCAGCAGCATGTATGCAAATCTCAGCTCTGCCTAGCTGCTTGGTCTAGTCAGTGAGCTATTCTTTCTATGAAATTTGATTATCTCAATACCTGTTGAGAAAATTGATGTTATGAAAAATGAAGGGATGAAATTCGATGGAATTCTTTTCAGATATTACGGCCAACAATCAAAGCAAATAAAGTGATTTCTAAAGCCACCTGATAGTATATTGGACGTAAACATGGTTTTGTATTTAAAGTTTTATTAAACGTTGCTAAATACCGCGTATGAAAAAATAGAAATGTTCCGAAATTCTGATGTCATTTCTTTGTCATCCGATTGAAGAAAATATTGGCGTTATTTCTTCAGTAGCTGCGAAGCAAAAATGTAAGAATAACTTAGCAGCTTTTGAAACCCGTTCAAACCTCAATGGTCTTTTTAAAATCTGTAGTCAGCTTTCGGCTGCTTCTTAAAACTTGTAAGATAGGCATGTTGTGTTATTTTTCTTGGACGGTGATCAAGCAAATTCTTTGAAGACTTTTGAAACTACTTTTCAAACAATATTTTCACACTTTCAAATGTTGTGCAACCGCTAGGCAGTATGATAATTCCCACAGGTCCAATGAAACACCATTGAAAGTCCATGGATGTGTTGTTGAGAAATTGCTTCAACGCTGAAATGCATGGGGAGCCCGTTTTCAAGAATGGTGCAAGTTTCGGCACGGAGAACGTTTCTTTGAATGAAATTTGGGTAGTAAAGCAAGTCTATTTATCCCTAGTAATCAGCAGAGTCGAGGTAACGAAGTATGCATGTTTGCGACTGTGTGTTTTTCCAATAACGACGTCGATCCCTATCACACGTTTGCTCCTAACTTGGTCTTCGGGTTGCGAAATCGAACGAACGTGGTTTCGTGGCCTAATGGGTGATAGAACCAACTGTAGTACGACACCCAGGAAAATCCCGTTGTCAGGGTCTTACTACCACGTACTGAGGGAAATGGTGCAATTACTAACGAACATTAGTCTACACTCTCAAATTGACGTTGTAATTCACATCTTCCATCTCACCAACAAATTTTTCTATTTGTTGAACTATTCGACTTTAATGGTGTTCACCCAGGTATTGGACCGTGAAGGAATCTTCTTAGTAAGATATTATAAACATCGTTAGCCATATTGAAAAATGAAACTTTCCTACGGCGAAAATCGTCACCCTGAACTCTACTGTCTCTGCTATAATAAAGACGGATTGAAAAGCTTCTATAGAAGTGGTTCTGACACTATAACTCTACTTGAATGTGCTAAAAGAACTCAGCGCAGCATTTGGGTTCGAATTAGAAGGCGAGCCGTAGAAATAATTTCATCAAGAGCAAGGGAAATATTGCTTCTCTAATGTAAGCAAGATCGCTTTCTTTTCTCCACAGAATTTTGGTAAATGATCTGCTCGTTTCAACTTGGAATCACAAGCTTTGCATTCTTACTAAAGACTTCCAAGAAGGAAAACAATTTCCAAATGAGAGGACTTTGACCAAAAGCCTAAACAAGACAACCGAGAATATCTAAACTAATCAACGAATAGATAGCGGTAGCTCTCAGTGATCGATAGCACTCACTGATCTCCCTCATATGAGGGATGACGAGCCGGTTAGCACCGAAGCTACGTGGGGCATCCCCACGTGGCAGATAGGGGATTAATCGAAGACGAAGAGCGACCTTTGCTTCTCTGAGACGCAGTGGGATCCAGGGGATGGAATCCCTGTTTCTACTGCGCGGACTTGGCACTCATATTTTTTTCTATTTACGAGAACGCATTCATGTAGGCGTGCGTAGGTAATACAGACAGGTGTCAACACAGCAAGTGAAGCAGGTTAAAAGCCTTTAGTTA